CCCTGGGTTCTGAGGACCCCAGGAAAGGGAGTTCAGTGGCACAGGAGGGTCCAGGGCAGGAGACAGAGAGCAGCCTCTCAGGTCTTCCTGGAAAGGAACTCTGACCACCAGTGTGAATAGTTATGCAGAAAGCTGAGCAGGCACCCAGCGAAATCTGGCCCCTCTCCTCTCCTGGAGTAAGCAGCCCCTCCCCTCTCCCGGGATGGGTGGGGCCAGTGGGTGTATGGGCAGCTTTCCTTGTGATGCCACAGGTCCCTCTGGACAGGCTGCTGCCTGGCCACACCTCTTTTCCCTTTCATCTTTCTCATCAACCAATGGGCTTGGAGCATTGAGGCCACGCCCCTATCCTGTGTTCAAATGAGGCCCTGTTACCCCTCCTCTGGCTCTGTCACACAGCTGCCTGGTAGGTGACTGGAGGTGTTTAGCAGTCCCGCAGGGATTGCGGTGATGTGGCCCCAACCCCGCCTCCCTCCCCACCCTACAATGTTAGAAGAAACCCCACAGAGCAAATTGGCTGTGGCCAAGAAAAAGGTAAAACGCACTAGGTCGTGGCCTCCCCTGCCCCACCCAGCTGCAGACCTCCTCCCACAGCAGGAACACTGCCAGAGTTCGTGCCACTCCTGAGGCACACCGGGTTGGGCCTCCCTGGTGCCTCTGGGGGGCTCCCTCCACCAAAATCTTGTCAGCTAGCACTGTGTCCCCTCACTAGCTAGCCCCTGCCCTCAACAGTCATCCCAGGGCGACTTTGGGCAGGTGACTCCTGGGGCTCCCTGCTTTAGACTCACCCCTCACCTCCTGCCGCCCCAATTCTTACCCCCTTGGGGTCTTGGGGCTTGTGTCTCCAAGGACCTGGGTCCTCCAGCCCCTGCCCTTGCCAGTTGCCCCTGGGTATCTTTGGGCCAGTGACTCCCAGGGCTCCCCGCTGCAGACTCTGCTCTCACCTCCTGCTGTCCCAAGCCTGACCTCCCTGGACTTGGGTCCTGGCCCTGCACCCACTCCCCGACTGTGGAGCTCAGTGCTCCAAGTCCATTTTTTGATAAGAAAGACTCAGGCATCATGTTGATGTGGCCCCCACCCCCAGAGAGTGGTGAAGTGTAATAACATCACAGACCCCTGTCATTACTGCCACGGGACTGGCCTTTGATCTTACAACCAGTCCCCTATGCGTTCTCATCCCATTTCTGGTTCTTCTGGTTGCAGCACAGATTTCCAGCTGAACGGGGAATAGGAACTAGGGACCTAGGAGTGAGTGGTTTCAGGCTGCCTCACTCCCTTAACATAGACATTGACAGTGTGAAAAGCTTACACTTCCCCTGTGAGCTCAAAACGTTAACAATGTCTCTGGGTGGCAATAGTAGAATGGGTTTGGTTTGGTTTGGTTTTCTCTCAGGCTTCTACTCTACAGAGAGACTTTAACTTTTTTTTTTTTTTTTCTGAGTTCTCCACCTCATATTCAAATTCTCCATGGTTTTTGGGACCAGACTGCCCTTTAGTCAGTGGTCTCTGGAATGAGATCTGCTCATCTTCTGTGGAACAGATCTTGGGAAACTGAACTTGACAGCTTGAATCTTCCTCATAATCATCTCAACCTGGGCTACTTTGAGTGCCACAGGATAAATGTGGGACGTCTTTCTGAAATGTCAGTTTCCCTTGATTCTCTTGAAAGAGAAAAAACACTAATGTAGTTAGGCATGACCGTTACATAGGGTGCTAAAAGAATTCTCTCTGAAATGAGGCTTGGGTTGTCCTCTTTCTGATAAATTCCCAGATTTAACAGAAAGGCTACCTTCTGCCATGAGGATACATTGATGTAAAAGTTTGAGAAGTGACCAGGCATGGTGGCTCATACCTGTAATCCCAGCACTTTGGGAGGCTAGGTGGGTGGATCACCTGAGGTCAGGATTTCAAGACCAGCCTGGCCAATCTGGTGAAACCCCATCTCTACTAAAAATACAAAAATTAGCCGGGTGTGGTGGCAGGTGTCTGTAATCCCAGCTACTTGGGAGGTTGAGGCAGGAGAATCACTTGAACCTGGGAGAAGGAGGTTGAAGTGAGCTGGATCACGGCACTGCACTCCAGCCTGGACAACAGAGCAAGATTCCATCTGAGAAAAATTTTCTTTGAGAGGTACTAGTGCACTTCTTAACACTAACAGATGTGTGAGGATGTATGGCTCTAAACTATACAGTGTATACTTCCTGCCTACTTAATATTTACTTTTCTACTTCTGCCTTTGAGTTTAGTCCCTAGCAGCTGCTGGTTCATGGCAAAACCCGAGCTTGGAGTCAGAAGACTGAGTTTAAGTTCCAGTATTGCTTTTTTTTTTTGTAAGTGATGATGTCAATCCCTGTCAGTCGCTAAGTGATTGTGACAACACCTCCTGCAGTTGGTGGTGGCATTAAATCAGATGGTGTATGAGAGTGTTTTGTAAAAACTGTAAAGGAGGATGTGGCTGTAGGGGCTGGTGGTCCTCATATTCCTGCTCTTCTTTCCCATAGTTAAAAGAGTATCAACAGAGGAACAGCCCTGGTGTTCTGGGAGAGCACAGAGGAAAAAGCAAAAGAATGGCAGTAGCCCTGAGATAACCACTTCTGGTAGTTGCTGCTCACCTGGGGATGTGAGTCTTGGCTGGCCAGGCTCCGGGAGAAAGGGGGCTCAAGGGGCAATAGAGGGTAATTGTTAAGATTGTGGAAGAACTACCAGGTACTGGTTACGAATTCTGGGTTTGAATCCTGACTCTCCATCTGCTAGGGATATGATTTAGGGCACGTTGTTTGAGCAACTTTCACATCTGTAAAATAGAGGTCGTATTGTTTGACTTGCAGTTGAGACGTTTAAATGAGATTCGGTATTATTGTTTTTACGTTAATTCCTAGTACACCACCTGCTGTCAACACTCAGGACACCCAGGAAATGGTTGTTGCTGTTTGATTTTCCTCATCCCAGTCTCAAGGGGAAGCCAGGCCAATGAGAACTGCCACTTGCCATCAGCCTGTCCCTTTAGGAGTCACTGAAAGGGCCCCAGGGTGTGCTGAGGATAGCCCCAGGCACTAGGATTAAGAGAAGATCTAACTAGCTACCAGCTTGCTGGGTGACCACAGAAAAATCGCTTCTTCCCCTTGGCCTCCTGTAAGATGATACTGGATAAGATCAGTGTTTTTCAAACTTTTTTTTAGTAGAGACAGGGTTTCACCATGTTGGCCAGGCTGGTCTCAAACTCCAGACCTCATGATCACCCGCCACGGCCTCCCAAAGTTCTGGTATTACAAGTGTGAGCCACTGCACCTGTCCTCAAACTTGGTTTTTAGCTGGAGCCCCCTTTGTTCAAGTGAACCCTTACTCAGAAGTCTGGTGTGCGTTTTTTGTTTGTTTTTGAGACAGAGTTTCACTCTTGTTGCCTGTTTTTGAGACAGAGTTTCACTCTTGTTGCCCAGGCTGGCATGCAATGGCTTGATCTCAGCTTACCTCCGCCTCCCAAGTTCAAGCAATTCTCCTGTCTCAGCCTCCCAACTAGCTGGGATTACAGGCATGCGCCACCATGCCTGGCTAATTTTGTGTTTTTGGTAGAGATGGAGTTTCTCCATGTCAGTCAGGGTGGTCTCAAACTCCCGACCTCAGGTGATCTCGAACTCCTGCCTCAGCCTCCTAAAGTACTGGGATTACAGGTGTGAGCCACCACGCATGGCAGAAATCTGTTTTTTTACATGGAGGTGCAGGTCTGGAGCTCTACCAGATTCAGTAATAAAACTATGCAAGTGTGTTTATTAAAAGAACACAAACTAAAAAATAGTTATGAGATTAAAAGAAGTTATAGGATGAGGCCCAGCACTGTGGCTCATGCCTGTAATCCCAGCACTTTGGGAGGCCAAGACGGGTGGATCACGAGGTCAAGAAATCGAGACCATCCTGGTCAACATGGTGAAACCCTGTCTCTACTAAAAATACAAAAATTAGCTGGGCGTGGTGGTGCCTGCCTGTAATCCCAGCTCAGGAGGCTGAGGCAGGAGAATTGCTTGAACCCAGGAGGTGGAGGTTGCGGTGAGCCGAGATCGCACCATTGCACTCCAGCCTGGGTAACAAGAGTGAAACTCCGTCTCAAAAAAAAAAATAAATAAATAAAAAAAAGAGTTCGAGAATAGCCTGGCCAACATGGAGAAACCCTGCCTCAAAGAAAAAAAAATGTTATGGGATCAAAAATGTTGTGGAAAAGTCATGGCAAAAAAATGGTGTGGCAAAAATGTAGAAAAAAGTTTTACGAAAGGTTATAAAAAAAGTTATGAAAAATTATGGGATTAAAGAAAAGTCATGGGATAAAATAAAAATAAAAGCAGGCCCCTGTCAGCAGGGCCTGAAGAAGTAGGCCTGGAATCTCCACCCCACCATGTCCCTACCACCCCTTTCCAGTCACCCCTTTACCATTAGGCAAGACAAGACCCCTGTCTAATGGGGGGAGACAGACCCTGTGCTACTGTGACCGGGGCTGAGTCCTTAAATTGCTGGATGATGATGATTGTTATTTAAGAGCTAGAGGCTGGTGAAGTTGGTTGATTTGGAGGAGGCCTAATGGCCTCCTTGCTCTCACCAAAGCATCTTTTCCCTCTTGGCTGGGGGGCTCCCATCTTCTTATTCAGAAAGGCATTTGAGGCAGGACAGTGGTGCTCACTGTGGACCAGGCGAGGGTACGGGCTGCTGGGGTGGCCCCCCTTCCCCAGTGTGGATATTGTATCTGTGTAACATTTTGAATATTCTGGGGGGAGGGGGAAGCCTGCCCCTCCCCACCCCGGTATCTACCTAGCCATTGTTGGAACTGGCACATGCGGAGAAGGTTCTAATAATTATTTGCAGCTGGGAAACTTATTTATTGATAGCAGAGGACAGAGGAAGGAGGCGGGATGGGTTGTGGCTCCCTGGTGGTGTGACTCCTGTTTATTTTGCTTTTTATTTTGGAATAAATCGATTAAGCCACACTGCTGGGCCTGGTATAGTCCCGTTTCCCTCACTGGGTCCTGGAGTTTGTGCCCCTGAATGAGGAGCCCCAGAGTGTCTGAGCGTGTCCAGCCGGGTTGTTGGGGACCTTCCAGGCTGTTGGGGACCTGTGTGCTGCCTGGTGACACCTGGGGGACTTCCCGGGGACTGCGGTGGCACGTCCGGCCCTGACAACCAGCAGGCTCAGAAGCCTGATCCAGCGGTGGCCGGAAGGCAGGTACCGGCACCCAAGGGCGCTGACTCCCGCCCACCCCAGGCGTCTGTCTCCCACCCCCCGCCTCCCTCTCCTGTCTGCGCCTGGTGGCCTGCGCTGTCTGTCCCTCCAGAGTGCCGGCTGCCCCGCGGGCTCCCTCCAGGCTGAGTGCGTGGCCCTCCTGCCCCCTAGTGGCCAGAGCCGGCTGCACGGGACAAGACCAGCTGCGCTCCAGGGGCTTTCCGGGAACAGTGGCCCTTGGAAAGGGTGGGGCCTTTTCACCGTGCCCAACAGCACCCCAAAAATGGCTTGGCCTTTTCCTTCCCCTGAACTCCACAGAAAACACAGCCAGCAGAGGACACATTCCTCGTCATCCAGAAATGGGTTTGATTCTCAGAGAAGGGACAGCAGGACTGGTGGAGACCATCAGCCACATAGCTGCCTACATAGCACCCTATGCTTGGCGGGGGCGGGAGGGATGGGGGGGCCTGGCTGTCCACACGCGGGGCATGACAGGGAGGCTCACTGGAGGTGGTGCACTTTGGAGGTGCGATGTCAGGGGACAGATACAGGTCTCAGTAAAGAGATTTGCTCTTTTAAAATTTCTGCACCAATTTGCCTATACCCAATGATGACATATAGCAACTTACTTTTCACTTTCTAAAGACAGAATATCATGGAAAGAGAACAAGCTGCCCTTCTATGAATATAACTCAATTGCCTTCTAGCCATAGGCTGCATGCTTCAAATTATTTTCAGAAATAAGAAATGAGTTGAGTTGAACCATCTATAGCTGTACACTGAAAGTTCCCACCGTAACCTCTAACACATATGAATCGACTTGCTTAATGTATGAAACCAGTGGAAATGGGATGAAAAGTCCTATTTTCATGCAAACCGTTGTGTTATGCACACAGTAGTACAGACACAGCCCTAACTACAGCCTGCCCTCCAGAAAACACATGTCTCTGTTCATATGGAAATGACACAAGGCTAGTGCCTGTCCAAATGTCATACAGCAAAACAGAAATGTCTCTGCAAAATTGGGAAGAGCTTTTTACAATGACTTTAACTTTGAGTGTGCTCTTTAGCAGAGGCTCTTCTCTTGATGAAGGAAGAATTCTATCAACCAGGATCACTGGGTAGAAGTGAATTTATAACTCCCTTTTTTAAGGCCAGAAGGGGCCTTAATTACATTGCTTCTATTTACAAAGGAGAGAACTAAAGTCCAGAGATAGTGAAAAATTTGGCATCTTTAAAGGATCCATCTAGCCCCTCCATGAAAAGAAAATACGCCAACATTGAGTTTCGTTCTAAACTTTTAGAAAGTGGTTAAAATGAAGGATATTAAACAAAAATACTAGGGTTTTTTTTTCCTATCTTGTTCAGTTAGTGTCAACATGCTACAAGTTTTTCATAATGGTTATTTATTTAGTTATTGTTTAAGAGATGGAGTCTTGTTCTGTCGCCCAGCTGCAGTGCAGTGGCGCAATCTTGGCTCACTGCAATCTCCGCCTCCCGAGTTCAAGCAATTCTCCTGCATCAGCCTCCCAAGTAGGTGGGATTACAGGCGCACACTGCCATGCCCGGCTAATTTTTTTTGTATTTTAGTAGAGACAGGGTTTCACCGTGTTGCCCAGGCTGGTCTCAGACTTCTGAGTTCCGGCAATCCACCTGCCTCTGCCTCCCAAAGTACACGGATTACAGGTGTGAGTCACCGCACCTGGCTGGATTAATTTTTATGATGATAAAAATTAACATACATTCTCATGGTATGACATTTGGGAAATTCCGAAACCTATGGAGAAGAAAATTTAAACTATCCTTAATCCCACAGTTTATTCATTTACTTATTTGGGCAACAAATGAAAGTGCACACCTTATTAAGAGCAGCGCATATGCCATGGCCGACTATTCAGAAATGACAGCCTCTAACTGATTCCCTTCCAACCCGTTTCTCAATGCACTACTAATAATAATTTTAAAATCATATTATTTACACTTTTGAAATCTCTTTTTCACTTAATATATCACAAGCCTTTTCCCAGGTTATCAAATAATATCCCAAGCTCTGATTTTAACAGCTGGATAGCATCACATTACATAAATTTACACTAATTTATTAAACCATTCTACTTGGGACATAAAAAGATGATCAATTTTTCAATATTATAAATAATGTTGCATATAATACTATAATACTCTTTGGCCACATATCTGATTATCTTTGAAAACTTTCCTAGAATTCAGATTGTTAGCTCAAAAGCCTTAAATATTTTAAAGATTTTAAATACACAATACTCAATCGCTTTCTTGAAAGAGTGTAATAGTTTTTTGTTTTGTTTTGTTTTGTTTTTGAGACGGAGTTTCACTCTTGTTACCCAGGCTGGAGTGCAATGTCGCGATCTCGGCTCACCGCAACCTCCGCCTCCTGGGTTCAGGCAATTCTCCTGCCTCAGCCTCCTGAGTAGCTGGGACTATAGGCGCGTGCCACTATGCCCAGCTAATTTTTGTATTTTTAGCAGAGATGGGTTTCACCATGTTGACCAGGATGGTCTCGATCTCTTGACCTCATGATCCACCCATCTAGGCCTCCCAAAGTGCTGGGATTATAGGCGTGAGCCACCGCGCCCGGCCAAGTGTAATAGTTTACCTCTACCAGCACCAAGAGTGTCTTTCAGTCATACAGCAAGGCCCACCCCTCAAAACAATGAGTATTAGCTTAAAAAAGAAAGTCATTGTCAACTGAGTCCAAATGGTTTTTCTTTTAATTTGCAATTGTTACTTGACAATGTAAATCAAACTTCCAAAGACCATTTTTTTCTCTTTTTCCGTAAATTATATATGCATACTTTTTGTCATTTTCTATGGAAAGGTAAATATTTCTTCTTAGCATTCTAGTCTTGATATTTCTCAATAAGGAATTTTTCTGACTGCATTCTGAGATCTGGCCTCCTGGCTAAGGCAGCAGGAGGTAGGATGGAGAAAGGGCGGGCGTCAGAGCCAGGCTTGTTCTTAGTCCTTCCACAATCACCGACGTGTGACCTGGGCCAACTCTTTTCATATCTCTGGGCTTCAGTTCCCTCCTCTGTAAATAGAAGGGTCTTAATTAAGATCCCTTCCAGTCCTATAAAAGGGAGTTATAGATCCATAGTTTAAAAGTTTCTTTCACTGTCATGATTTGTGATCAGCTTTGAAGGATGTAGTGCTAGTGGGTAAACATCAAACTTAAGCTTTTTCCCCAGTTCTAATCTACCACTCCCACCTACCACTGAGAAAGTCACTTCAACATTCTTAGCTTCCTAATATGTAAATGGAAACCTTGTTTTACAGATTTGTTGTAAAAATTATGTGAAATAATAGAAATCAGGCCAGGTGCAGTGGCTCACTCCTGTAATTTCAGCACTTTGGGAGGCCAAGGCTGGAGGATCACCTGAGGTCGGGAGTTCGAGACCAGCCTGACCAACACGGAGAAACCCTGTCTCTACTAAAAATACGAAATAAACCGGGCATGGTGGTGCATGCATGTCATCCCAGCCACTTGGGAGGCTGAAGCCGGAGAATTGCTTGAACCCTCGAGGCGGAGGTTGCAGTGAGCAGAGATTGTGCCATTGCACTCAAGCCTGGGCAACAAGAATGAAACTCTGTTTCAAAAAAAGAAAAAGAAACATTGATCAGGCTGATAAAAGAGAAACATTGGCTGGGCATGGTGGGTGGCTCAAGCCTGTAATCTCAGCACTTTGAGAGACCAGTGTGGGCAGATCACAAGGTCAGGAGTTCAAGACCAGCCTGACCATCATGGTGAAGCCCCGTCTCTATTTAAAAAAAAAAAGAAAGAAACATGGATCAGCTGCAGTTTCATGTTATTGTATAACTAGTTGAGAGTTGAAAGAATGGAGGCAGTAAAATGGATAAAGGAGGGCGTGGAGGGTTATAGAAGGACAAAAGAAAAAAAGTTTCAATAGCAAACTAGGGAACACTCATAATCCACTCCATTGTAGAGATGTTGGACTGACTCTTCCTTACCCTATTCATCCTTTCTCCTGTGGGTCCTATCACTGGGAGGGCAGTGTGAACTGTCAGTATCTCATAGCTAACCTCCTAAGACATCACCTCATGGTCAAACCCACAACGTTGAAGTAAATAAGACTGAGGACATTAGGAGGTGGGAGAAGACCCTGCAAGACCGGGAGTCAGGAGCTGCCCATTGAGATGCCTTTGAATTTGACTGGAAGCTGCTTTGCATTAATTCAGGCAAATTTCTTCCTTCCTTCCTTCCTTCCCTCCTTTTTCCTTTTTTCCTTCCTTCCCTCTTTCTTTCTTTCTCCTTCCTTCCCTCCTTCCTTCCTTCCTTCCTTCCTTCCTTCCTTTCCTCTTTCTTTTTTTTTTTTCCTTTCTTACTGTTTTCAGATGGAGTCTCCCTCTGTTGCCCAAGCTGGAGTGCAATGGTGCTGTCTCAGCTCACTGCATCCTCCACCTCCTGGGTTCAAGCAATTTTCATGTCTCAGCTTCCCTAGTAGCTGGGATCACAGGCACGCACCACCACACCTGGCTAAGTTTTGTATCCCTAGACATTTATGTATACATAAGTTGTCCACAATTTCCCCAGATACAGATGGAGAAATCAGAGGTCACTTACAATCAAGGTTGCCTTGTATTGATGCATATATACTCACCAAAGGAATTGGACTCTACCACCATAACTTTACAACTAAGGAGTAAAAGGAGAAATAATTTAACATCTATGAAGCACCTATAATATCTCAGACCTTGCACTATCAGCATTCACATAATAATGTCATTTAATTTCCACTCGATACTGTGAGGTGGGCGTTTGAGGATTTGCCTATGGTCATAGACTAGTGTGTAGCAAAATATGAACTGAAACCTAATCTCTCTGGCCCCGGAGTCTACTTTCATGCTACTACAGTATTAGTAAGCTTCACTTTGGAAGAAGCTCAATTTCCCCCAGCACACCTGGAAAGATGACATTGATCTGTCTACCTGAGTATGGCCACTTCGCTTTGTTAGCTTCACTCTAGTTTGGTCCAGGCAGGGCACATCCCCATAACGATTCTTCTCTAGGTTTCCTGAGACCTGAAGGAAATGAAACAAACAAGCAAGAATAAAGAAAAAGTGGGAACAGTATGTATGTACAAAGTCTGATCATGCAAAAGGAGTGTCAGTTACTCCAGGGGTGGAGATAGGGAAGTTTTTCAATCTCTAGTCCATACAGTTCCATATCATTTAATATTTTTTATGGATAAGTACATGTTACTTCTAAAAATAAACGTCTCCATTCAAAAGACAGCAGGAGGCCAGGGGCGGTAGCTCACACTTGTAGACCCAGCACTTTGGGAGGCC